GCCCGCGCCCCGCGCGCCGAAACTCCTCAATCGATATGGGTGGTATCACAGCAACCCTCGTGGACTGTTTGACGAACCAGCGCTGCCACATGCGGAACGGCTGGCTCGCACGGCGTAAGGGCAGACGGCTGGCTTCGTGCATGCTTTCAGACTGGCTAATGGTAGACCTAGTGCTATGGATAACCATTAGGTATAATCAATTAGACAAAGTTGCATAAGACATTGTATTGTATGAATGCTGAATAACATTATCAAAATGGAAATATGTCGATGTCAGTTGACCTTTGATGGATCTATACGATGTTCTCTCCATGCGTTGTAGCGATGTGTATGAATTCCTTACTTCTATTATTTCGTAAATAAATTCGTAACATATTCGCACAAATAAACAAACGGAAAACTTAGATAAATCAAATTACAAAGGTAAATTAGAAACGTAAAATTTTAATGGAAAATTTAAAAAGGGCAACTCAGCAAATGACCAAAACTTTTTCAGAACACTATCTCTTCATCATCATTACCTACCTCAGCAACGATGATGTCTCAATTCGCATGCTATTCCAAGCACACCAGAGCTAAAGTTTTATCCGGAATGACATGCTTTTATACATATTTTGTCGGCATCATCGCTTCGTTCGGTTTAGTCAGCTGGTGCTGGCAAACTCTCCAGTTCACAGATCACTATTTGGCTTCCCAATCCTTTTACTGCGCCGTATAGGTCGTGGTGTAGGGGCTTCACCGGCTCGACGCCCGAGGGACTACCGTGGGTGTCGTGCAGCTGGGAGCAGTTCGCCCCCAGTGTTCCCACTTCCCAGTGTCCTCTGCTGTCCACCACTGTCCTTCAGTGTCCTCAGCTGTCCTCCGGTGTCCTCTCAGCTCTCCCCAGTGTCCTCCGCTGTCCTTCTGTGTCGTCCTCCGCTGTCCTCAGTGTCATCTCGCTGTCCCCAGTGTCCTCTAGTGTCCTCCCACTGTCCCCAATGTCATCTCGCTGTCCTTCAGTGTCCTCCACTTCCTTCAGTGTCCTCTCGCTGTCCTCCAGTGTCCTCTCAGCTATCCTCCTGTGTCCTCCGCTGTCCTCCAGTTGTTCCCGCTGTTTTTGAGGGGTGGAAGAGCAGTTGGAGTTCAAAAGACAGGTGGGTTCCGCAATGCACCTGCAGACTAAGTTTATCATCCCTGTATTTTTTTACTACTAAGGAAAACAATCAAGGACGTGATCAATTTGCCCGTTTTCTGTATCACTTTGCTGCTGTTTTTGTGAGGCAAATGCCACATTACAGCAAAGGTCAAAACATGTCCAATAAAACTAAAAGTGCTCTTATTGGCATTCGTCCGCTTTTATAGGGATCGTCTTGTAATTGTTTATATTGAAGGAAAAAGTCGGAAGCTGGAAGACAAATCTCGCCAAGAAATGAAAGAATGAACTGTCTGTGCACGTAATGAATGTAATTAATTGCTGACACCGATATTTAGTAAAAAAGCAGGATCAATAAAATGCATTCCAGTTTTGTATTAAATTGGCACCTATAACTAAATCACCAACCACCTAGGTAATAGATAGGCATCAGTTTTCAACAAACAACCTGCCGCTTGCGGTAACATCAAAGCCGCTAGCTTGAATTTGCGTTTAGAGCATTCTCAACCTCATGCGATTATATATTATAGTAACATAGAAATTGAGCAGCTTATATCTGGAAGCGTAACTTACGATTCAGAATAGCCGTTTTCACGACGGAATTGCAGGTACTTTGCGTGCGTTCGGCATCCGGAAAATGTTATCCTTTGGATATTCTCGGTCGGAAAATTATTGGTAACAACCTACGTTCGATATGCCTCGTTTAGGGGAGAATCATCCGCGGGATAATATCCCTCACTTGAGCGTTCGGCATCACGGATGTCATCCCTGGACGGTCACACTGTCAAGGGCGCTATAAGGTCAAATCAAGGTCATTAACTTTAGATGACTTCAGTTGAATTTCTAGTTGTAAAATCACTTAAGATAGTTTTGGAGCAAATGAGAAACCCTTCACCACTAAGCTATCCCCGTAATGTATAGTGCGTCTTACTTTTATTGGTGCCCCTCTGCCGGCAGGCTCACGTGCCGAGATGGAAAGCACGCTCTCCGCCAGCCTACTATGTGTCTAGGGATGGACTGTTGCAAAGACGTCTACAGCCTCGCCAAGAACTAGTCTATCATCGAATACTTCTGATCCCACGGCACTGACGGGCTGGAAAGCGGCCACATCGACTGTTAGTGGTTCTCCTCTGAAGGACCACCCCGGCCCACAGCTGTGCGTCCAAACAATGCCAGCAACACCACGGCAGAACGGAGACGATCCCAGCGCAGGGCGACATCTATGGCGCGGAAGGCCCTGTCTAAAACCCTTCACGGCCACCCAGGAGACGTCTCCTGGCTCTCCCCCTGTGAGTCTCAGTGTCGGCGAGAGAAACCCGACAAGGATGGCTAACTCGGGAACCTCGCCAAACGCAGACTTGCTCGAGCGCCTCAATGCACTCAGACAAAATTTGACCCGGTATCAAAGTCTGAAAGCGGACCGAATCGGGAAAATAGCCTCCGAGCTCAGAGCTGCGCAGGACCACGTCGCTTCCTTGGCTGCCAAAATGAAGGCGTTGGAGGAAGAGAGTGAAGAGGATGCCATCAGACAGGTCATTGGCTGGGTAGAAGTCGAGCTCAGCGTACCGATGAGGGATGAGAGACGAGAGGAAATCGGCCAAATATTGGCTGATGTTGAGGAACAGTGTGAGCACTGCTGCGAAAAGTACGACAATGAGCCGTGTGCGGTGTCCAGATCTACATCTCCACGAAGCGGAGCGGTGACCCCGCAGAACAATATGCTAGTCACGAGCATTACCGTGTCGCCACCAGATGGCAACAATAGCGCGGCGCCCTCGCTGGAAGGCAGACGCTCTGTTTCTCCGATAGGGGACAGTAGCAGCGCTCCCTCGCTGGTGAAGATGGTCAGCGACGGCGCCCCGGTACCCGAAGATGTCAGAAAAGTCGCATTCTCTCTGGATGACGAAGGCAGCAGAGCTGTGTCGCCGCCAGATGGCAGGAGAGCCGCGACGCCACTGGATGGCACCAGCGTCGTGCGAGTATCGCCCCGCCGCAGCCTGGCCAGGGCGGTCGTGTTCGCATGCACGCGGCTGCGTCGCAGCGGAAGCCTTCCCGCGCGGCTGCCCAAGACGGCGATATCAGCGCCTCTGCCGGCTCCGACACGGCCGCGCTTTCTGCTGCGGTTCTCCACAGATGGCGGCACGGTCGGTGGCGCCGTGGTCGTGGAGACTCGGCCGGAGGTGGCGCCGCGGCTGGCCGCGCTGTTCGCCGCCGGCTGCGCGGGTCCGTACCGCGGCGCGCCCGTCCTCCGTTGCGTGCCCGGCTGGTGGCTCCAGGCCGGGCCTGTGGACTCTGCCGCCGCCGGCCAGGCTTCGGCCGTGTGCGCCCGGCTGGCCGAGTCTCACGAGACACGACTTGAGACACGTCCGGGAGCCGTCGAACTCCTCAGCGCGCGGCTCGGCGCCTCCGCGGACGACGAGGACGCCACCGACAGCGGGGGTGACGGCGGAGCGGCCCGACTTCCTCCCCGGGGAGGAGGGTGGCTAGTCGGACCCCAGTTCTTCATCCACCTACGCAGCTACAGCTTCACCCACGTGCTGGGGTACGTGGTGGAGGGGCTGGAGCACGTGGCGCGCTTGGCCAGCAGCGGCGACCCGCGGGCGGCCTACACCCCGCGGAGGCCGATCTGGGTGGCCGAGAGCGGCCCGCTGGGGGCGACATGGCCGCGGGACACTCTCCAGTGATGGCAAGACTTTCAGCAGTGCTAAATGATCGATCCCGCCCGTCAGCAAATACCAAACCCAGCGCAGCGCACTGCGGAGCTTACATTCCCATCGTCATTTCACGACTGAGCTCCGTCAGTCGTCAGGGCGAATACAATGTGTTATAGGTTCTGTCATTGTTAATTGCTTGATCATGCCAGATCATGCAACCGTGTGAAAGCCCCTAAAATAAAGTACTGAGTGTTTATGTTGTTCGACGGTCATCTGATACGTTGTTCGTGATGTGTTTGCCTCTCCACTCGGTTCCACGACCGTTAGGTAGGTACCTACAGTTCGAGTTTCAGGACTAGTCGAGAAGAGATATCACACAGAGTCTAACCATATACAGGGCTGTTCATAGCACTCGGTACACTTACCCTTTTCTTTTTCATGACTAGCCTGGCCGGCGCAATATAAATAAGCTCCTTTCCTATTTATTTTAGTCGGTTTTAATACTTGCACCACCGCCACACTTCTCTCTCTCTCTCTCTCTCTCTCTCTCTCTCTCTCTCTCTCTCTCTCTCTCTCTCTCTCTCTCTCTCCTCTCTCTCTCTCTCCCTCTCTCTCTCTCTTTCTCTCTTTCTCTCTTTCTCTCTTTCTCCCTCTCTATCTCTCTCCCTCCTCCCTCTCTCTCTCTCTCTCCCTCTCCTTCTCTCTTTCTCTCTCTCTCTCTCTCTCTCGGCACTATGCCAGCCTCCATGCGCTCCCCCTCTCCCGTTCTGGGTCGATTGCTGATGAAGACTATCCAAGCAAATGGCCATCGCCCATCCGTCATACTGCCGTTCTGGGACCTGCTTGGTAAGCTGTTTTGCCGCTCCTTTGCACATCGACATACCTTCATAGTAGTACCAAAATGTTATTGCTGCGGATCTAGATTACCGACACCGACTTAAGTGCTCTAAGCGGACACAGCATGCACCGTTATAGTGTGCAGATGTGAGCCGTATATTATGACAAATTTTAGCTGATTCATGGTGACAGTGGCAATGATACAAGACCCCTCCTTCTATAAATGCTGTCATTCACAGCTGGGGTCAAAGGAGCGGCCGCCATGAGCCACTTGGCCAAAGATAAACTGACCTTCGACGGCAGTTGCTGATGGACGGGGGGACGGTGGGGGGGGGGGGGGGGGCGGACGCCGGCGCAGGACCGGCCAAGGTCGTGTCGATGTGCGCTGCGCCGCCGCTCAGTGCTGGGAGGGCGGTGGCCGGTCCGAGACTGCCGCGCTGAGGTCTGTGCCTCCCTACCGCCGCCATGGAGACTGTGGTGCTTCTGGTGCTGTCTCTGGTGGTGCTGGTGCTGTTTCTGATCTACCGGCACGGCACTCGGACCCACGGCACGCTGGAGAAACTCGGCATTCCCGTCATCAAGCCCTACCCGTTCGTGGGGAGTTACCTGACGCCTTGGACCAAGTACACTGCAGTAGAGGACCAACGCAACGCCAAGCGATTCGGGGCAGTGTGGGGCCAGTATGACGGCTTGGTTCCCTATGTGTACGTCGCAAGTGTCGAACTGGCCAAGTGTGTCATGATCAAGGACTTTGAGTACTTCCAGGATCGACCAGTCTCAATGATGGACTACGAATACGCACGGGACATGCTGGACTTCTTGAAAGGTGAACAATGGAAGCAAGTCCGCAGCCTGTTTTCAAAAACCGTCTCCTCGGGCTCCAAACTGAAAGCCATGATGACCACCGTAAAGAAATGCACTGAAGACGGCTTTAAACGCCTGGACGCTAAACTAGAGAAAGAAAATGAACTTGTAATTCAAGACGAACTCTTTGGCCCCATAGTTCTGGATGCAATGTCGCAGTTTTCGTTCGGCATAAAAATTCCAATGGAGGACAAGTCAAACCCATTCCTACAGCATGTGAACATTTTCACAGCTGGTGATTACGAAACCCCTGCTTGGAAGGCTGCTTTTAGACTGATCTTCAAGCCCGGCAGCGAATTTGAAATGATTGTCCCCGCTTTTAAGTTCATGAACGAAGTGATGAGAAAGTCCATAAAAGAGCGTCGTATAAGCGGTGGCAGTAAGGGTGACATCGTGGACATCATGGTTGACGCCATCGACAACAAGGTGCCGACCAAGGAGTTCCGCGACCTGAACATCACCGAGGACATCATCGTGACGCAGGGCGCCGAGCTGCTGATGGCCAGCTACGGCACCACGGCAGCCGTGCTTTCCTTCTGCACCTACTACCTCGTGCGGTACCCGGACATCATGGAGCGCGTCGTCTGCGAGGTCGAGGACGAGGAGGAGCTGACGTACGAGTCGGCGCAGCGGCTGCCGCTGCTCGAGGCCGTCATGTACGAGGCGCTGCGCCTGACGCCCTTCATCCCGCGTCACATCCGGACGTGCACGCGCGACTGGGAGCGCGACGGCGTGCGGATCCCGGCTGGCACCAACGTGGTCATCTCGGCGAGCACCCTCCAGATGGACCCGGGCGAGTTTCCGGAGCCGGAGAGTTTCCAGCCGGACCGGTGGCTCGCCGACGGCGGCCGCAAGCTGGGCCAGTACCACTGGATGCCGTTCGGGTTGGGGCCGCGCGCCTGCCTGGGCACCCGGCTGGCCACGCTGGAAGTCAAGTACATCCTCGCCAGCTTCCTGAAGCGCTACCGCGTGTCCACCTGCAGCAAGTCGCGGCTGGAAGTAAAGCCGGGGCTGTCGTTACTCGCAGATTTCTACTCCATCTGGATCAAGGTGGAGAAACGCTAGGGCATCGAACCTGGAGGGATGGTCAGCGAACATTACAGCGTCGAGTGAATTCATAGCATAGGGGTCATAAACTAGGGTCTGACCCTGTTGACCCTGTTGCCGCTGGCTTGCTGTTCAACGTATATAAGGTAGCTTACATGCATTGGCATCGACCCCACCTATTCATTCAGAAGGTGACTGTAAGTTTATGCATATGCTGACTCAGCTAATCGATACGCCTTTCAATGCCTGGCATTCTGAAGACGCTATGCGAGATGCGCTTCTGTCAAGACTTCGTAATAAGTGCTCGCATTATTGTGTGACGACATTGATGTAGGGTAATGGAAATAGCGCACATTGGGCACAATTGATGGCGCACAAGGTACAGATATGGATAAGAGATACCTTGTCTCTAATCCATGGTACAGACTAGCTGATTCGTTCAACTTATGTGCACATCAAATAAATAAAAAAACAACTCAGGTACCCAATGCAATCATGACGTGGAAGGCTCACCCATAGCTCATGGACTCTACACTGAGAGAGAGAGAGAGAGAGAGAGAGAGAGAGAGAGAGAGAGAGAGAGGGAGAGAAAAAATATTGACCCTACCCCTACATCAAAACACCATATTTCGTCTTGCTGATTCTGCAATGCCAGTACCGGTACCTCTTCTTTAGCAAACTGTAGTGTGAGAATTGAGTGTAGGAGTCTGTCGCCACGGCGCCGCGGGGAGCGTCGGCCGGCCGCCGTCTGCCCCGTCCCCTCCGGTGTGGACGGAGGGGCCCATCTGGCGTCGGAGCGGTCCCGGCGGCCATTTGTGCCAGTTTCGGGGCCATGCTGACGCGTCGGCCGGGACGGAGGGGGAGTCGTGTCCGAGCCATGTGACTGGACGGTCGTGTGCGAGGTCAGTCGACAAATACAAGGCCATTTGGCGAAGACAACATTTTACACAAACATTGGGATCAATAAGCTTTTGTGGGTGATTAGGGATCCTGGTCGTGCATGAATGCATTTATTAGCGAAAAACTGTTAGATTCTGTTCGTGACCCGAGATGACCTCGGGGACATAACGAGGGGTCACAGTTGCCATTTTCCGGTTCAGTGTGTCAATTTTACCTACATCTCGATGTTTGAGAGTGTCTAGAAGAGCGTTCGTGCAAAACAGACGCTTTTCAATTTTCTCCCATTGACAATGGGGGCTGTCAACCGGGACAGCCAAAATCGGCCACCTCTGCGATTTTGTTCAAACTTGGTATACTTATTGGCTATTGGGTGAAACCTCTCAGGGTGAAATGATTTTGTCATATGCCCTCGGGCTACAGAGATACAATTCCTAAACTTCTGCTTTTTGAGCAGAATTGGACGTGTATTGCAATCTTGAAAGATCTATAGCTTTAACGTTTTTGAAGCTATTAATTTCAAACAAATTGAAACGTGTACACAAGGAGTTATGCTAGTTAAATTTGACAATGTTTACAATTTTGGTGATTTTGAATTTATTTGATTTTGAATGAATTTCTTAAAATGTAATTTGTGAAAAATGGCTACCCTTCGATTTTGCTCAAATTTAGATATTGTCTTCCACTACACGTAAGGCACACGTGCTGAGAAAATTAGAGTGCGGCCAACGATAGCTTTGGATGATATAGCAACAAGTAGTGCAACGTAGCACGGGCGGTGGAAAGGGCCGATTTCGCTAACTCCACTTGTTTATCGCCAATAACTCACGCCATAATTATTATATCAAAGTCAAACTTTCAGTATCTGTCCATAATTGAATTGCAAATCCTCCCGTGCAGGCAATAGGTAAATCGGTCGACAACTTGTCTAGTAATAGCGGTGTAAAGGCAAACATTCCGCGCGGCGGCCGGCGCCGGCCGTTGCCGCCTGAAATTATGGTACATACCTATAGACATTGCCGGCGCGGGACGGTTCCATCTTTGCACCGCGCTAAGCGCTTCTTACCGCTAATTATGATCGATTGGTGTCAAATTTTGTGTGAAGGCTTAAAAATGTACAGGCTATCTAACTTTCAAATAAATACGAAAATCAACTGGTAAAAATTGAATTATTAGGGTGCAAACAAAATCTTTGACTGAAACGTTTCTCGCGTCGGCCGATCCCCGCCTCTGTCGGCGACATCTTACTCTTATCAGGCCACTAACTGCCAAATTTATGGTAAGATTATCTAGAGATTTTCATAACACTACAAATGTTGTATAAAGGAAGAAATAGGAAAATCGGCCAGTAACTCTCAGAGCTATGGCCGTATAAACGCAAAATAGTCACTACATATAGCAAATTTGATCACGTTTAACCTCATTTGATCTTCAAGATATTGATCTAGGGCCATGAAATTGGCACACGATAAAGTTCCCCACCGCCCCACCTACAATTCAAATTCCGTTTTTTTTTAATACCTTTTTTGGCTAAACCGGGCCTTTCTCCCCTAGCGCTGGCAGAGTCAGGCGTATTTCCTTTTGCAACCAAAGAGAGGCGCTGCCCGGAGAATGCTCAATTTCATCATTAAAAAAGAAAACTGGCTTACGATGACCAGCCATCTTCGTGGCTTAGTAGAAAGTGTGTCGAGTGTACCCACCTCGAAATCTAAAGGTCGCTGGCTCGCGGCCGGTCAGCCTGAAGTGTTTTAACACGCACACGCATTCGTTTTTTAAGCAGCATCTGGCCAGCCGGCAACTGTCGTGAGGGCTAATGTTCGTATCTAGGTAGCATTTGGCCAGTCGGCAACTGCCGTGAGGGCTGCACATATTTACGCGTGTTAGATTAGGTCAGGTCACGTCATGTCAGGTTAGGTTTGCTTTGGTTTGGGGTAGAAAGAAGCATCTCCGGGTAGCGCCTCTCCTTGGTTGCTAGAACGAAACACGCGAGTGTCAGACTTTACAAAGTCCAAAAAACAGTTACGTAGACGTCGGCCAATTCTAGATTTTTTATATGATGTAGCTGATGTATAGGAGAATAAAACCTATGTAAAAATCAGCAAAATCGAAGGGTACCTAGGCAGGGAAAAGTGGGGTAAGACGGACACCTTAACCCTATTAGTGGCAGGCTCCTGGCTACCCCCATTAGTGGCAGGGGGGGGGGCTGTTTTCGACCCCCCCCCCTGATGTCTCGAGATCTAACGGGCCGATTTGCAAAATTCAAACGGCATTCGATTTCGCTCAACGTGATCTACATTTCTAAAAAAAATAAAAATTAAAAAATGTCAATAGGGGGGTAGAGGGGGGTAAAAACGGGCAAATTGCAGATATATTTTAGACTGTTTATCACGGCCAGGTTTCTGAACCAATCTTAACGCAACTTTTGCCGATCGATAGAGAATGAACCAGGAATTCACATGAATCCTAAAAATATGCATTTTCAAAAATCATAGGCGGATACAGATCATTGAGATTGGGGGTACACAAAAAGTATAGTAAATAAGGTTTTTGTTGGTACTGTTTCTAAAAAGGGTGGTAATGGTCTTGTTATGTTACAATTTTCTTATGAGAAGACGACTACAATTGTATTGGTCATGCATAGGCGGTGTCAGGGCACCTATGTTGGGAGGTAAAACATAACCCCCCTTTTTGGACGCCTGGATCCGCCTATTATAGCAAAAACGTGTCAAAAGAGGATGCACAATAACTTTGTATATGTTATCACATGATACCTTTCATTCACTGTTCGTAAAACTGGTGCATACAGTTATAATACATCAGCATCGTGATCTTCGCCCAAATGACTCGCTTCACGAATAGGACCCCCCAATTCCCAGTGCTCTGGAGCCGCCCCTGGTAAAGGTATGAACTTGAAATTTTCAGGGAATGTGTCCAATTTAGTTTTAGGAAAAGTCAGAAAATTTCAGCATCGTAGCTTCAGCGGTTTCGGAGATATTCCCGAAAAACCTGAGGGGTGAATGAAAACAAGCCCCCTGCCACTAATAGGGACTTCGGAGCCACACTTTGGACTTCGGAGCCATTTTTCGACCGGTTAGAAACATCGTAGAAACGGGAAACTGAATGAAAACCTTTTTTTAGACATTTTACTTCCATTTGCCAGAAAATTAGACTTAGACCTGATTCAACAAATAAATTGCAGCCATTTTTGCAAAACCTTGCAAAATCCCGTCTTACCCCACCCCATAGGGTAAGACGGTCACATGGGTAGGGCAAGACGGCCAGCTTCTTTCACCGACTAGCACAGCTCGCAACAAATGCCCGAGATTAGCCGCATTGATACAGTCGCTCGTTAGTGCTTCGGAAATGGCAGTATACGAGATTCGCGCAGAAGGCGTATGCTCGTATATAGGCCCTAGTTCAGAAGCCATGTAGAACAGTTTAATCAGGCATCGGTAAAATCCTTTTTGAAAGGATTGCATTCCCAATCCACATTCCTAGTGCCGAAGTGGATTGCATTCCTACCCGCAATCCCCTTTTTTCACTTGGATTGTGATCAAATCCGCAATCCTTTTTTGCAATCCTGTTGTATTATTATGTGCACTAGTGGATCTGGGGGAGGGAGGGGGGCATAGGGCCGTGCCTCCATCCCCAAATCACCCATTTCTAGTACCTAGTCTTGCGAGTAATTCCTATCTAAGGCACAGGTATTTTATGGGAAATATGTTTTGCCTCAAACACCCCCACATTAACCCGGCGGCCGCTGGGCCTCCGCGCCACCCGCCGGCCGCTGGGGGGGGGGGGGCATATAGTTGCCCCCCCTTTACTTCCGCGACGATATCGTCGCAACGCGAAGAGATAGAGAAGCGAAACTTTGCACACATCTTTCTGAATACCTAGCCGAGGTTGTGTCCAAATTTGGTGTCGATCCCATTTGAAATGACGTCACAGTGACGTCATAAGTCAAATTATAGATTTGCGACTCTCAGTTTCCTCACGATACATTAGATATATGGGACCGAATATAAAGTGCCGATTATTGGTCAGGAACTAGATGGAAGTGTACTTAGATGTTTTAGGATGACAGCAGGTGCTGTTTAGTTCATTTACAGTTGAGTTTCATGCTCAGCGTCATCAGAAACGGTCCATATCGAGAAACGACAAAACTTTATGACGTCACTGTGACGTCATCTTTGGTGCTACAACCACCAAACTTTCTCCAAACATTGCCTAGGTATTCATTCGAAGCTATGCCAAGTTTCACGTTCGTAGCTCATCAGGTTTCGGAGATATTCCACAAAACGTAAAGGGGGGGCAACTTTATGCCCCCCCCAGCGGCTCGTGGGTTAAAACCTCTACCCAACCAGTGTTTTATATTTTTAAAACTCGCCCTCAAATACGTAATTTTGCCCTTCCTATGTAGTTCAGCAGCGTATATTATTTTGAGCGTTTAAATTAAAAGCGTTTAAATTATTTCAAGTTTCGATTTAAAGCCCTTGATAGCAAATTACATGAAGCCGATGAATCCGATCTCATAATTTTCAATCGCAACAAACCATTTCAAAGCACTAATCAAACACAA